AAACATTCTCACCTACGGTCCTAAATCCCAATTTCCAAAGTAAATCCCCTCATGAGATCTTCTACTAAGCAAGGATGAATGAGCACAACACACTGCTGACAAGGCAAAAGGCTTTCACAGAAATGCAGCTGGGCAGATCAGCTGACAGAAAGGCACTGCCAACACCCACAGTTAACATACCAAGAAAGTAAAAAAACCAAAAAACAAACAAACAAACAAAACTAAACTAAGCCTAAAAGCAAAGAGAGCTATTAGTTCTTATACACAGGAAAGTCATTAAAAGGCTTTTTTTTTTGGTAGGACTTGAATTATTCCAATATCCAAAGCCAACAGTGCCCCCATTTACATCGGTAAAAAGCACTCACAACTAGCCATTGTGTCCTTTCAGACACTTAACTGATGTCATACTTACTTAAATTTGGCCAATACAAACAAAACCCAGCAGCCATTTTACATCTTTAGCCACAGCCTCCATTAAAAAAAATCCTCAAAGGCCCCCAATACCAATCAAGAAAACAATAAAACTTTTAATATGCTTATTTTAAAAATTAAATCCCCAAATGTAACACTCTACTATGGTTTTCATATTGCTTTTGGGAAAACAGATAAGGGATCAGTTTGAGTTTCTCATATAAATAAGTGATAAGAACATAATAAACACAACCCTCCCCCTCAAAAATCTTCAACATCTAAACTGTCTTATAAACATTCATTAAGAGAATGTTAGTTCACGTCACAGTAACTTAAAAAAAGCAAAACTAACTAGGTTAACTGTCTTCATGCTTAGTAACATAATAGCTGCATATTGCAACGCAGAATGAGTTTATAAAATATTGACCAGCAATGGACATTTCAATTTATATACCAGTAAGTACCAGTAAGATTTATACAAAGCATGAGCGAGAGGGCATTAAGAGTCCCCACCCTCCCCAAGTTAATAAACACATTAGTAACCAGTAACAGGCAATCAAATAGTATGAGGAAGCACAGAAGAGAAAAAAAAGCATTAACCATAGGTATCTAGTGTTTTCCATGTAGTCAAACACCTAGAAAGATGCACTCACGTAAAACATTAAAAAACAAAAAAAACAAAACTACAATGTTAGGCATGGAACACAAGAACATAATACCCATCTTTAAGCATCTAATAGTTGTGTTAAAGTATCTTTAAAAATACAGAATAAGCCAGCACAAAAAATGGGAACAGAAGTGTATAGGTGTATAGGGAGGCATAATTTTAACACTACAGTGTAGTCTATTAGATTAAAGCTATTCTGAAGACCATTACCTAACGAACAAAAAGTCTGAGCTAACAGTCATGTGGAAGGTATTAGCTACTTTCTCACTAGCAGGCCCTAACACAGCACTAAGAGTAATCTAGATATAATTTAGAACATACAACACATTGTTTGAAATACCTCACTAATGGTAATATGATAAATATATGTGGGAGGGTTGAGGTACTCTCAAGAATATTAGCTTGGTTCAATGGTAAGTAGGCAAGAGACCAGGAGCTACAAGTTACGCCTTTGGTAAGTAATGGCTCCCCAAAGAAATACTTCAAGGAATAGGAAAAGATTTTTGATAAGAGCTGGAGAACTGGGATTTGATTAAAAGATTCTATTTTGATGGCATTTGACTTACATTTAAACTATCATTTACTTTACAATGTACAAAGAGACGTCTCTGCCCTCAAGGAATTTTTATTGAAAAAAGAGCAAAACAATGAGAGAACAATTAAAAGGTAATTCATTAAGAAAAATTATTTTGGTTACTACTACCACTGGATAGACAAAGTTAATGCAAGGAACTGGCTAAGAATCATTAAAATACTAAAGCATGAGAAAATCTTTCCTACTTCAAAGATAAATAGTTTAATTTTTAAATGATTAAAAATATTCAATCATGAAATTAAGGGTGTCTTCATTCTTCAGGTGACAGTCATCTAACATTTTAACTTATGGTCTACTAGCATAAATTAAACCAATTTTGTACACTGCTATAAATTATTACAATGGTTATAAGTAAGTAAAAAGGTATACCAATGAGAAGCAGAGTAAGTTACGAAATGGTAAAGGTAAGTTTTCAACCAAACTCACTTGTTTGACTAATAATGTTCAAAAACTATCATGAATCAGGCACTGTTTTAGGAACCATGAACACAGAAGTAAACAAGCCACATATAAGCCTGCCTCTATGAGGGTTACAATCTAATATAGGATCAGATGGATGGATGGATGAACGGACAAATGGATAGACTGATGACAAATATATGTCAAGTAGTGGTAAGTTCTATAAAGAAAAATAATGCAGAATAAGGAAAAGAACTTCAGATCTCAGAAGACCTGAAAAGGGACAAGACAACTAAGATTGAGTAAAGAGTAAATGTACTTTTTGACAGACAAAGGACTTCTGGAAAAGACAAACAGCAGCAGAATACTGGATACTTATCGAGAGTTATAAAGGCATGGGAATTGAAGCTGAATATTCTGTTTATTCATTATTATTCTTACAAAGAGGGAGATTTTGTGAGGTAGTTTTTATGACAGAAGGAAAGCCTTACATTTCAGTTATGTTAGATTCGTCTCCTCAGATTTCTGAATATGGAGATGATACAAATGCTGCCTATAAAAGTTTACTCCAGGGCTTCCCTGGTGGCGCAGTGGTTGAGTGTCCACCTGCCGATGCAGGGGACACGGGTTCGTGCCCCGGTCCAGGAAGATCCCACATGCCGCGGAGTGGCTGGGCCTGTGAGCCATGGCCGCTGAGCCTGTGCGTCTGGAGCCTGTGCTCCGCTACGGGAGAGGCCACAACAGTGAGAGGCCCGCGTACCGCAAAAAAAAAAAAAAAAAAAGTTTACTCCAGTATCTACAAAATGGATTAAATTAGAAAGGCAAGAAAAGTTCCAATCTGGGCAAAGGATATATATAGACTGCAAAAAGGGTGGAGCTAATAATAACAGAGGAACAATTTAGTGGGACTTTATGACAAGACATACGGAAAACAAAGGGGGAAAAGGAATTAAAAGTAACATTATAAAATTTAAGATTCTGACTTTCAACTGATTCAAATAACTGCATAAGGAGAAGACCAAAGCCTCTTTGAGCCCCTTTACTGCCACCTGATTTTCTTTTCCTAGTTATCAATTTCCTTCCTTCACAGGCTTTTCTCAATCAGTAATATTTAAAATTAAGTACTCGCTTCAAATTTGATTTCTCAACTAGAAACTTATTACCTTAATGTTCTCATTCTCTTCTCTTCTGGTATAATTAGAAAAAGGCAGTTCTATCACTCTTTCATTTAAAGAACTTGGAAATTCTTGCACTTTTTTTTGGTTTTTCAGTGAAACTTACATGGATTTCAAAAGGAAACACGATATAAAATCTGTGTTAAGAACACATGCCAGGAGGCCAGCAATTTTTTTAAAGGTAGATTTTACTAAGATTTTTTTTTTTACCGTATTAAAAAAAAAACCCTCATAGAAAATGTTTCAAGGTTAAAAGTATTATCCAAAATTGTACAGGATGCTCTTGACAACTACAAGAGCAGTAGTTATATCCCAAATACATAAATATAGTTTATAATATAACAGGAAACCCAAGGAATTAGCAGAGTGCTTCGTTGCTGACAAAAGGAAGACAGTACTACTGTAGTGGCCACAGGGGCTGAGTTGCACTAGTAGAGAGGCAGTGTGGCACAAATGAGCACTCGACCAGGAATCAAGGATTCTGGGAGCTAAGTTGCATTTCACCACGTATTTAGTTGAAGAACCTTTCCAAGTCTCAACTTTCTTTATCTATAAAGATAAAGGATGATGACTATAATAGTGATCCTAGGCCCATCAACCTTAAAGATTATTTCGAGAATAAGATGAGATCATGTATGTGAAAGTGCTTGGAAACTGTCAGGCGGCATCCAAGGTTAAGGTAACAATATATTCTGTTTTCTGTTTCTGTTTCTGAGACAGAAGCTTCAACTGGATCAATACAAATAATTTTGACCATGTAACACTGTATGCACTGGCAAGTGTAATACTTATATCCATTCAAGTGGAAAAGGAATAAGTCCATTACCAAAAGCTCCCATGAATGTTTTCAAATAGCATTAAACACATAAAGTAACCAATCAGTTGGCATCGGAAGCCAAGAAAGGTGTACTTTAACAATCACATGTCATTATTTCTGTTAAATGATATGAGCACAGCCACAGATATAGAAGGACAAGCTGTCCTATCACTTTACAAGGATCTCATTCCATAGTATGCCGCCAGAGAAGTAAATAACAGAGAAACTTCCTATCTCCTCTCCTAACCACAATGAGAAGCTTTTTTCAGAAAAAAACAGATTCCCCTGATGCTAACAATGAGATGAAAAAGAAAGAGTGAATATTTAGGTGAATTTTCTTGAACTGGAAGAAGGCCTTAGAAACATTTGAAGAGGAAAGTCTTTCCTGTGAAGACATTAGGTCAGCATGGCATTTCAAGCTTTTTTGCCCTTTTGCGGGGGGGGGGGGGGTACTTTTAAATATGATCTTTAGCAGCAGGAAGTTATCTAATGAAAAAACAACATTCACAACTTTTGAAGACTTGTCAAGTTTCACAAATATCTCAAAGGCAACACCTTTATTGTAGCACCATTCAAGCCAAGGCACTGAGTTCTGAGTTCAAGGTTTCTAAGGCCCACAAAGGAGAGCATGTCAGAATCATTATCAGAAAAAAGGTTCCTTAACCTCAGAAAAACCATCCTCTGGACCCACCAACTGTAAATTATCAAGAATTTTCCATCTTTAATATTTGTAATCTGCTTATCCTTTCTTTCTAAATAATCAATATTCCTACAAACTCTTAGATGAGAAAGATACGCGAAGAAAATAACATCCACAATGAAGAAGAAAAAATGCTAATAACCTGCTTCTCAAGTTGTATAAAAGGATTTTTTGCTATTATATTTCTTCCACATCAAGCACATTAAAACAGTTACGTGTAGCATGTTAATTAGTACCTGTGCTCCTGATACAGGGCCAAAAGGGTTTGGTGGTCTCATGACAGGCTGGCTGTATATTAAGGTTGGTTGTGTCATTACAGGTACACTTCCCATTTGAGGAGGCTAAAAAAACAAAAAATGTCAAGTTAAAGGATGTTAACTCACATTTTCCTTATTATGAGTAAGTAAACAAGAAGGATGACAGGGATGAACAGTACTACTACTCTGCAGTACCTCAAAGGGAAAATACCTATAAATGCAAAAAAGACTGACAACTACAAATTTATTTATTTATTTATTTATTTTTTTGCGGTACGCGGGCCTCTCACTGCTGTGGCCTCTCCCGTTGCGGAGCACAGGCTCCGGACATGCAGGCCCAGCGGCCACGGCCCACGGGCCCAGCCGCTCCGCGGCATGTGGGATCCTCTCGGACCGGGGCACGAACCCGTGTCCCCTGCATCGGCAGGCGGACCCTTCCCTGCGCCACCAGGGAAGCCCCATCTACAAATTTTTAAGAGTATTTTTTTAATATGGAAAGTCTTTAATGTGCTCATCTTTTAAAGTTTGCAAAAAAGCTCAACTTTTTCTACATGAGTTGCAAAATTCAAACTACGATAAACAGACATAATTTAGACCAAAAAAATTTCCAAATTTGCCAGCTTTAGACATGGGAAACTTGAAACTATAAAATGGCTAAGACATTTCAAAGAAAACTGCCTCTGTAAATCAAATCAAGTTCTTATGCCATTATGCAAATAAGCACAAGGGAAAATAGTTGATTGTTTGAAGTTTACTCCCAGTTGAAAGAACCCAATGGTTCTTTCATTTTATTTCAGACATTTTTAGGGAAAACCAAGAGGCTTAAATTACACACAAAGAGGTTAGTTCATTCTTAAATAACTGAAAATAAATCTCAACCAACCATCTCTTTAAAAATTATCACTCCATGGTATATAATTAACGTAAGTGACAAAATAGAGCACACACTGACCACCATATTATTTTGGTTAAAATGCTATATTCTAAAACCTTATCTTTCTGCAAGTTCTATTTAACCTTTTAGGATGACTCCTATTTGTAGTGAGATTCACTTTGAGTTTTTTGTGCAGACACCTTTTTAATGTAATGACTACTAATCCAAAAGCTGTGAAACTCCTTCATATGCAGGAAAAGAGCTACAGATGTATAATAAATAAAGAAGTAGCAGAAGCAGCCACAGTAGCAATACCAACGGATGCAGTGCTGCCTCCCAACAGCAACAGTTCCGCCAAGTGTGTGGTGGGCTGAAGCCACTACCTTCATTTCTTATTTATGTGAGTCTATGTATTAAGAGAGTTGGGAGAGTAAGGGCAGTCTAGAATGTGGGCTGTGGGCAGCTTAAAGGTTTAAGGACTGTTTCTGTACTATCCCAATCATGTCATAGGAAAATTTCTGCAGCCTTTACTAAATTCAAGAAATATTAATTCCCCCTTCCCCTAGAGTGGTATTCAGGTTATAAGACCTCACTGGTATTAATGTAAGGTCACAGCAACAAAGACTTGGAGTTAACATTAATGTTTAAATGAGTTCATAATGAAGTATAAAATGCCTAACAAACTTATGAGAGGAAAAATAAGCTAAGTAAATACAGTGAACATTAATAAATAGTATCTGTTGTACAATGACTATTCTAGAAATAGTTATGAAACCTATGCTATGGTGCAAGGTTCTGTGTTAGGCATTAAGGATATATGTGGCACGAAGTTCTTTTTTCAGTTAAGCTGGGAAATAAATTCATGTTAAATGTGAGTCAACCTATTTTCAAAAAGCTGTGTTGGGAAAAATACTTACGATTCCATATCCTATCATGCCTGTTGGTGTAGTAGCAGGATAGGCCATTACAGGGGGTGCCTGACATGATGAAAGAAAAAATAAACAAGGAAGTATAACTCATGTATGTCAACGGAGTTCAAGGAATTAATAGCTGTAGTTCCACTAAAAAGAATTGCTAAGACAGCTGTGATTAAATATGACATTTGTGTTCGTTAATAATTGTGTCAAAGCTCAATGAAAAAAAGTGTCTTGAAATTAGCGGAAAAGCAGAATTATCAGAAAGAAAAAATACCATTTAAAGTTAGATACAACAGTGATCTAAGATGTCAATGTGCTTTTACAAGCTTTAAAAATATTCAGATTTTTAAAAATACTCAAAGTTCTAAAATTTAAAGTCTATCACTAACATAAAAAATGTTTGCCTAGAAAAGTAGCATTACTGAATGTTTTCCTAGGTACTTCATTTTTTGAGCAAAAAAAACCCGTCAAGATCCCAAATCAATGAACAATCTGATCTTCCAAAAAATTAGTTTCTAAGGACCTCATTCACTCTTTTCAAATAACTCCAAAGATTTCAAACCACTATGGAGTATGACTATTTCTAAGAAGCACAAGTTCTTACGTAGAGTATGTATACTAGTATTCCTTCTAATTTATTTCGTAAATTATTTAAACTATCTTCTGCAAAGCACCAATTTGGAAGAGCAATACATTTTTAAGTCTGTTTATGCTTTAAGTCCTAAAAGAGCCATCTACCACTAAGATGTTTAAGGTCCCTTCCTCCTCCCACTTTAACTCAAAATATACAATCTCAGCACAGAATCATTTTAGACATATCTGCTGTCTTAACAACATTCCCTGTGTGTGTTATCTTATAATAAAAACTGAAGAAGCTGAATACAGGTGAAAGACCAATAACACTGCTAAAACATGAAAAATAACAAATTATATGGCAATTTGAACATACACATGGAGAAGTTAAATGAAGCATAACTAAAGTGAACAGTTAAAAGTTTAGTATTTGGGTGAGCATGTAGGACTTATTGGTCTCTCCCTACTTAAAAACCAAGAGCTGCGAGAGCCGCAGACAAACTGCCAAGTTCAGCAGAAGCCTGTAAGATTTCATGCAATTGTTATTTTCAACATTACCACAATCAACATTTCCCTTCATTCAGAAGTCATCAAGTGCATAGTGGCAGCACAGATACAGACACAGACACCCAGCCATCTGGCAGCAAATGGCAGAATATTAAGCAAGAAAAAAAATTTGTATTTCCCATGCCACCATCAGAATCAATTCTGCAACAAACCCACAAAATCAGTAGATGCTAGGAAGAATTTTTGGCACATTGAAAATCTGAATGTGAAAACAAGTAATAGCTAGAAGGTTATGAGATTCTGCTACAGCATTGGTTAACAGCATGCCAATTTATTGCAAAAAAGGCTAGTTTTTGGTCACTTACGTATTGTGGAAAATGCATGCCATTCTGTTTTTCCCAGGGAGAACAATTACATAATGCAATAACACTGGATTAGAACAAGTGCTTACACAACAGAAAATACATAGAGAGCATTTTAGTTCACATGAACATTCATTAACTACCTAAAATCCCTTGTATTTCCAGTATCTAATGGAAGAACATCTATACTAAAACACTATCAAGGTTGACAAGGGAAATTTAGTCTTTGGCATCATCACCTTACTTACATAATAGTTTATCGATTACAAGTGTCATCAAAACATAAAATCTATCAGTAGCATCAACAGTGCAAAATTCAGTGCATCCCATAAACAGGGTTGCATTGTATAATGTCTACCACAGAAAAAAAGCAAACAGTAGTGGAAAGAGTTGGTAGTGTAACATCATTATATATTTTAATAAAACATCAATGAATGTTTAAAATTTAAAAAAATTTTAAAACCTTGACAGTGTTTAAGGATTAATAAAAAGGTTAGAAATGTAAAGAAATGTCAAAAGCAGCAGTTTATCTAAGTAGTGAATCACATCACCAGCCCTAAATATTAGTCATTAAAAAGAACCTCTATAAAATACATACATACAAATGTTTTAACAAAATCCTTAAGAGATGATATACCTTACCATATACAACACAGCACCATAGATATTGCTTCTTATCAACAAATTCTAGATGGTTAGATGCCTATTAAATGCTAAAAGTCAATCTTAAGTGCTATTCGCAAACTTCTAATACTTCATACAGATTAATACTAATTTCATATAAAATATTCATTGTATTTTTATATCATCATTTGGATTTATATCATTCCTCATATATTATCAATGTATAATTCACTCCTGAGGCTATAACATCTACTAACCTAACCTCCTGCCATCCCTAGTCAGAGAGGTGTGCTTGAGTGGGAAAAACACTGGATTCCAAGTCAGAAGGGATGGATTTCAATTTAAATCTGCTTTCTAGTTGCTTTGCACTTGAGGGAAAAAAAAATTGCATAACTTTATCCTTACAGTTGGGACAATAGCTGCTCAAACTCCCCCAAGAGTGCACTATTTATAGACTCAGGATAGTGTGTGTGTGTGTGTGTGTGTGTGTGTGTGTGTGTGTGTGTGTGTAAAAATGTAAACTATTTAAATGCAAGGTTTTATTATTGGTGACGGTAGTGACCACTACCAGAGAAAAAGTACTGATTTAAAAAGGTGGCTAAATTTCAATATTATTTTCCATTAATGGAGACTGAAACTAATAAAACTCTTTAAAGTCATGTAAAACTTTAACGGCACACTATTTTTAGCTCAGCCCTATTAATTTTTTTTTTTTTGCGATATGTGGGCCTCTCACTGTCGTGGCCTTTCCCGTTGCCGGATGCGCAAGCTCAGCGCCCATGGCTCACAGGCCCAGCCGCTCCGCGGCACGTGGGATCCTCCCGGACCGGGGCACGAACCCGTATCCCCTGCATCGGCAGGCAGACTCTCAACCACTGCGCCACCAGGGAGGCCCAGCCCTATTAATTTTAACATACAATTAACCTAAGGAAACAGCAAAATAGCACAGTACTCTGGAAGAGATTTAATAACAAAAAGTAGCTATACCAAGGATAATGTGGGGAGATCAGCTTGGTGCTTTGTAAGGACCTAGAGGGTGGGATGGGAGGATGGGAGGGAGACTCAAGAGGGAGGGGATATAGGTATACATATAGCTGATTCACTTTGTTGTACAGCAGAAACTAACACAACATTGTAAAGCAATTATAACCCAATAAAGATGTAAAAAATAAATAAATAAATAAAATGAAAAAATATTTTAAAAAAAGAACTAACGCCCCTGAAGGTATATTAAAAAAAAGTGGGCAAATGGGGATATATGTATACTTGTGGCTGATTCACTATGCTGTACGGCAGAAACTAACACAACATTGTAAAGTAACTATACTCCAATAAAAAAAATTAAAAATTAAAAAAAAAAAAGGATAATGGGGGTCTCTAACAACAACAGAAAGGATACAATGTGTGGCTTGTGTAATCAAATGCTGATTAGCACACACTGTCGCAAGAAAGCATGTTTCAAATTTTTCTACAAAAAGAAACTGGTTTTCTCCGACACAGGGAGACTTACTGGATTGGTAAAACAGCAGCTGACCAAGGATAGAGGTACGGCCACAAAACTACTCTGGGACGACCATACCTTATATTAATTAAAACCATTAGAACTTCTTTCAGTACTAGATGCTAACTCATTAATTATCATATACAATTAATTTTCATTACTCATGGATTCTGTATTTGCAAATTTGCTATGCACTGAAATTTATTTGTAATCCTAAAATCAATACTTGTGGTGCTTTTGAAGTCATTCACATACATGCGCAAAGTGGTGAAAAGTCTGTCACCGGATGCATTCATTCCCAGCTGAGGTCAAACAAGGTGGGGCTGTGCCTTGTTTCAGCTCTGACATGAAGATGACCAGAAGATGGAGAAGTAGGGAACAGTGTAGTGTACTGCAAGAAGCTCTGGGGCCAGCTGGATAGGGCAAGAGTCTCTTAATTCAGGCACCTATTATTGGGGATGCCTCAGGCAAGTCACTTAACACCTCTGGCACTCGTTTTCTCTTTTGTAAAATAAAAAAATATATAATCCACTAGAATGAGTTTTTTTGTTTTGGGATTTAAGATTATAATCTATGTGAGATGTGCATGTGTATAGGCATACTCAATTAAAACTATACTTGCTTGGCTTTTGTTAATACTGTCATATAATTTATATAGTTGATTCTCCTTATTTGCTGCACTTACATTCTTAAAGTCACCAGAACACTGAATTAGTGAACACTGCACCATCAGCGCAGCGGTCCCCAACCTTTCTGGCACCAGGGACGGGTTTCAGGGAACACAATTTTTCCTCGGGTGGAGGAGCGGGGAGAGAATGGCTCAGGTGGTAATGCGAGCGACGGGGAGCGGCAGATGAAACTCTGCTCACTTGCCAGCCAGTCACCTCCTGCTGTGTGGCCCGGTTTCCTAACAGGCAGCGGACCCGTACTGGTCTGTGGCCCCAGGCATTGGGGACCCCTGCATTAGTGAACACTCAGCCATTGTTGGGGGAAATATGTGTATGTGTGTGAATCTAACAATTGGTTCAGTGTTAAGGTTATTTATTTATTGTAGACAGATAAATAATAGATTTGAAACCAGCAGTAGAGAGTAGTGATTAAGAAAATATGCTCTGAGGTAAGGCTGCCTGGGTTCTAAAAGCCCACCCAATCTCTGTGATCTGGGCTTACTACTTAATAACCCTGTGTTTTCATTTCCTCATCTGTAAAATTGGGATAACAATAGTTACTACCGTGTAAGGTTAATTTGAGGATTATATAAAACAAAACCACATATTATTTGTTAGAATGATGCCTGACACAAAGTAACCTTTAAATAAATGTTAGCTACTAAAATGTACCTGGCAAACATAGTCAACCAAGCTTCCTTTAAAAGAAATACAAATTACTTATATTTCTAAAACTTGGTAACAATCTTTCCACTTAGGCCTTATCACTATTTAAAAAACATTTTCATGTTACACATTTACCTAAATCATTCATGTTAGTATATAATGAGCTTTTCCAACTCACCATTGTTGCAGCATTCCAAGCAGTTGTTGGTGCAACCTTTGGTTGCCAGTTAGATCCTCCAGTTAGCTTCTTTTCACCTGGCTGACTCCAATTTACATCACTTTAAATAAATATGAGTGAGAATATTAAGTGTGTGTAATTATGAAGTTTCTTTACTATACATTTAGATTGAACAGAGCATTTAAGATGCAGATGACATCTCTACACATACTTTCTTGAGAGGAAAGCCTAATCAACCTCTAAATGGCACATAGGGA